GACTCGGTGCGTTCTACATAGTCTCCCTGAACACAAGACCAAGTTGCGACAACGAGGTCAACCCACTTTTGAAATAAGCATTGTTTAGATCATACATACGGCAAATTTATATAGCCAGATAGTTTTGGTATTTTTCAAAATTCTAATTTTTTTTATTTGTTGTTACATTTTGAAATTCTAAAACAATAATGTGAAATTTGATACCCTATTTCTAGGCTCCTCATTAGCTTAATGAAGCTTAATTAATGCTTAGTATGAATTTCATATAGATAAATACTCCAAATACGGATCTTATCGAGGGCTGAAAATTACGGAGGTTGCATGTCTGGCTAGGGTTTTACACATTGCTTCATGCTTTCTAAAATCTACTAGGATAGGCAGTTTTTAATGCATATTTACAAAGTTTCTTGCGGCCTTCACTTCTTAAAGAACATGATCTTATTTGGACTTGTCCATAATGTCTAATATCTGCTAGATTTGTGCTGTGTTCTGTCACAATTTTCATTGTGTTAAGCTAATGAATATTTTCTCGAATATTACTACCTCTGATCTTGCTTGTATTTTAAATAAACGAGATTTGATAGATAAAGCTCAAATACACGATGGTTGGCGTTTGGTGCAAGGGCTTTCTTGACCTCTAATCTATTTGCATTCATATATTATGCATAATTAAGCATGACTTATTTGCTAGATTACCCTTTTCTACCAAAATTTATAATTATTTAGGATGTGATATAAATGATTGTCTGAATAAAATCCTTGAATAAATCATTTTATGTTATCATGTCTGTTTTTGCTTCAATCATTTGATCATTCATTCTTAACCTTGCTTACTCATGACTTACCTCAGTTACATTTTTTTTAAATAATTTAAATAGCACTTCGTCTTTTTCTTATATGCCAATGTTCATTCGTCATCATTTTCTCTGTATCTATTTAATAGGATTCTGGAATACGACAGACGACTGCACTTGGTCTTGCCAAGCTTCACATATACTCCCGCCTCATCTCTAGCAATCTACTCTCACGACTTCTGCTGCTCTGGTTTAATCCGATGTCGGCTGACTTGCCCGTCATCCGCACTGGTTTGGCTGCTTTTTTCACCGATTTTATCTGTGCTAGTTCATCCAATCAGCTGGCCCTGGCTGAAGCCGTCCTTCCTTCGCTTACCACTCTTATCAGGGCGCCTGCCACCTCGCCTCTCTCTGAGGTTGATGCTTCAATGCTCTCTGGCTTACTTGTCAGACTCACCGATTCGGTTCATCTCACAAATGGTGCTAGGTCATCTACCTGCATCAAAAAGCCACTCCCATCACCGAATGTAGGAAATATAATTGTCACTTACTATGAGTCAATGAATTGGTTAGCATTTTTTTCTAACCATGTATATTCTTCATTTAAATGCAACATCTCTCCTGGTTAAGTAGGTATTGTAAAA